CTGTCTATGGTTTTGGTCAATCTGGCTATGATGTGCCTTGGAGAAGATCTTCTAGGATGGATTCTATGTGGGCTCCTTTGTATTTCTTGGGACTAGATATTTGAGTGTCTCTCTAGGTTTGGAAAGTGCTCTTCCAGATTTCATGGAATAGATGATCAATGCCTTTATTAGTTTATTCACCTTCTGGGATACCAGTTATTCAGATTTTTGGGTATTTAATGGTATCTAGTGTTACTCTTATGTTATTCTCTTTTTGGGGGGTTATTTTCTCAGCTCTTCCAGATTTCATGGAATAGATGATCAATGCCTTTATTAGTTTATTCACCTTCTGGGATACCAGTTATTCAGATTTTTGGGTATTTAATGGTATCTAGTGTTACTCTTATGTTATTCTCTTTTTGGGGGGTTATTTTCTCAGTCTTTTTGGTGAATTTTTCTAGGTCAGAGGTTCTGTCTTCTACATCTGAGATTTGATCTTCTGCATGATCTAATCTGCTTTTAATATTTTCAAGGGAGGTTTTGATTTCCTGTATTACAACCTTCATCTCTAATAGTTTCATTTGATTCTTATTTATGGTGTGTATTTCTTCTTTCAGATCATATAGGACCTTCCTCAACTCCTGGAACTCGTTGTCTCTTTTCTCCTGCATCTTCCAGAATTAATTGTCTCTCTTCTCTTGCATCTCTTTTAGCTTTGTCACTATGAGTACTTTAAATGATTTATTTGACATTTTCATGAGTTCCCTTGTATTGTCTGGGGAAGATGAGGAGTTATTCTTTTCACTTAGGGGAGAGATATTTTCTTGGTTTCTCATATTTCTTGTGCCTCTGTGGTGGTTTCTGGTCATCTGATAGATTATACTTTTTTTCCTAGTTTTTCTAGTTAAGTCTGAGCAGTCAGAAGCATGCAGAGGATATGATCTACAATCTCTAACAGTACTGTTTTTCTCCCTTTATGCAGCAGATTCAATGGAAATTGAGGATTAATCTGACCCTAAATTATTCAGATATTTGGCTACTGTGCACCTAGACCTGTCTAGAAACTTGGTGTGTGGAGACTGGCTAGATCTGGGGGACAGGAGTGTGAAGTCTAAGCAGATAGTCTTCAGCGGTTCTTGGAAAAATTTAGTTTTTGAAGTTCTTTTCTCTTGGTCTTCATAAAAAAGTCACATTTTATAGTTGGTTAGTTCCTTGTACATTGTGATCCCCTTCATTATTCTTGTTGCAACACAGTCCTGTATATCTGTACAGCTCGGTTGAAGAGGTGTGGGGAGTAACAGGACAGAACACAGTGAAATAAAGTTCAGTCTCCTCTTCCATTATACAGTAAAGAGAACTGCTTTCTGGAGCTCTGGATATAACTAGCCTCAAAATAAAGGGATATTCATGATGGAGTTAGATAATGGCAAGGAAAAGCAGAGAGCACCGAGGAGCCACTTCAGAAGGCTTAAGGTCTATACTTTGCCTGCCCCCACTGTACTAGAGGAAGCTGATTGTTGAAAGTCACAGGTAGGGGTGGGGACTGTCATGTGAGTTTTGGTTCAATGATCCTCTTAGAATGTGGTTCCAAGAAGTTTCCTGATCAGCTAAAAATGGTGAGGTGAATGCAATATGAACAAGTGTTTGCTCATGCTGGTTGATATGAAAGTATCATTACTTCTGCATGAAGAAGTACACAATTTATTTTTGCTGGTGAGTTCAGAGTGTGCAGGGCTCAGGAAAGACTTCTGTAACACTAAGTTCTTCTTTTCTTGTCCTTCCCAGTTCTTTCCCCCTCTTTGGGTTCTCACGTTTGTTATGTTTACAGAGCCTTATGTGCAGATGTCTAAAGGCTGTCTTCCTTCTGTGCTGCTTCTGGGCACTGGATCTCTGTCTGTGGGTTTTAGCATTTTGGTTTTCAGTTCTCATGAGATACTCCTCAGAAGAACTTGCCTGCTTAGTGTTTCTGCCCTTACTTAATCGAGTGACAGACAGTGGACAATTTACCACAATGTTTGGTTCTCATTCAGAAGATGTTTTAAGGAAGATGTGAAACTGACTTCCTGAAAATACAGAACTCTTCTAATAATGGCTTCAGAAATCACTTATGCTGAAGTGAAGTTTAAAAATGAATCCACAGGCTCAATCCCCAACTCAGTCTTTCCTGCAGGTAAAGATATTTTCTGGTGATCAGAGTTAACGATGGGACGGAGGGAGAGTGGGCTTATAAAGAAGGCAGTGGTGATATTAGCCGTTGGTTCTCTGACCAGCTGTGTCTGTCGATCACATGAGTCCTAGAAGACGTATTTTAACTCTAAAACAGACCCATTTAAGTTTGGGAACAGACAAAAGGTAATTTGGACAGTAATGTGTAATCTTGGATATTAAGCAAAAGAGGAAAAAGGGCACCCAGAGTGTGAGAAGCTGTGGGACAGAGGGTAGAAATTGTTATGCTTCTAAGTCATCCCTAGAGGAAATAGTCTTTTTTCTTTACTTAAACAATTTACATAATTTCTTTATCATACAGATCATAGTGTCATTAGGAAAAAAAAATAACCAGAGACATATAAGACATATAAGAATTTAAATTATACGTATTCTCTAGAGAAAATCTTATTTTGTAATTTTGTGTAAATTCTTCCACATATGAATCTATGTCAGTGTGTGTATGTATTTGTTTGTATAACTGAATTACTGATACTGAGGTTGTTATTCACTTCATTTGGAAATATATCATAACCTGAAGATTCTTACTAAGCAGATATGACTAAAAAGACCTTATCCTAAAGATGTAATAGTTGATCATTATAAAGATTTATCCACTATTATATAATTTCAAGTAAATAAAATAGAAGTTTTTTAAGAATGTATAATGAGATGCTTTGCAGCCATAGTGTTAAAGAAGAAAAAAATGGGCATATGAAAAATTAACATGATTTAGTGTCAAAATAAGAGTAGGTAGAAATCAGTATTTACGGTGTGGCACTCATATGGAAAAATGTGCATTATGTCTATAGTTTTAAAAATAGCTGGCAGGATATATATCAAAATATTAACAATAGTTATTCTCAATGGTAGTGCACATTTGTGCTTTTACATATGTATCTAAACTTCCTACAGTGAACATCATTTTCTTGCTATTTCTACTTTCACATTATTTGAAATGTCATACCATTAAAATTACATGTTGTCCAATAAAATGGAGAAGAGAAAGTAGAAAAGGAAGCAAAGATAAATTTTAATACTGAGTAAACTAATCTGGTTTTTCTTTCAGCACTCGAGGAGAACACCACCCCTCACAAAAGTAATCATGGTTTTTCTAAGCTACTTTTTGCTTCATTGCTGATATTTCTACTGTTGACAATTTCATTCTGTATTGCTTTTATCAGTAAGTATGTCTACTGAATCAACAGGCAATGTCTGCTTTACGTGAAGAGAAAGTATTCATTAGACATGGCCCTTTAGTGTTTGATTTATCAAGAAATCTGAAAAAGAGTTTCTCTGGGAATTAAATGGAAATTTAGAGCTTTATTGATCTTAGTTACTGTACTATAAAAATAAAAGAACCTATTTTCTTTAGAGAAGTTGAATGATATGTGACTATATGTGTGTTTGTGTTGTAGAGTAAATCTACAGGGCATCATCTCTGTACTTAGACACTGTGTGAGAACACATCTGTATTTCCCTAATAGCATGTGTAAGCCTCGTCATGTTTGAGTGCACAAACACGTATTCTGGGACAAGATGAAATGGGAGAGAATATTCGAGGATGTGTTCTTCATGGAATACCCCTCAAATGATTTCTATCCTGCCCAAGACTTTTGAGATGGAAAAGCCAACTTAGCAAACAGATATATCCCTGCATATTTTTGGCTTTCAGAACTTAACGTTTCTGAAGATACAAAAACTAGTATGTATTTGAGTAGATGCTTTATTTATTCATTTGGTCATTTCTTAAGCAGTAATGGCTAGCTACTGTATGACAAGTGCTGTGCAAGCCACAGTTCTTGCTCTCGAGAGAGTTAGGGGATGTATAGGGAAATGACACAACATCGTATGCAAGTGTTGGGCAGGTAAAAGTAAGCACAGGAGGTTGAGATGGGCTTCCTGGAGGAGGTGGCATCTATAGCTCTGTCTACAAGAATGATGCAGAGATATGAGAGAGCATAGAGAACTTTGGGGTAACTAGAGGTAATGCATGATTGGGACATACAGGGCTAAGTGAAGAACTAAGAAACGATGTCGTAGGTGGGACAGATAAACAGAACTCAGTTCCTAAAGAGTGTGGTATGCCATTGAAGAGTGTGCTTTGTTTTTCCTACAGGTTATTTTATGTATTATCTGTTGCTATTTAATTAGCCAATCTAAAATTTAGTGAATTAAAGCAACATCTGGGGATCAGTAGTTGGCGTAATGGCTATGCCGCTGGACTCCCATGTAGTCAACCACGGTTCAAGACCCAGACTTGGCTTAAAACTCACGCTGGGCACATGATAAGCACATATATATATATATAAACAACATCTGTGTATTAGCTCATGATTCTGTGGTTAGAAAATTTGGACTCATCTCATTTGGGTTCCTCTTGTCCAGGCTGAACTCACTCATGGGTGAGTCGAGTGCTGGTCACAGGCAGCTCGGCTTCTGAGGAAGAGGAAGGCAGCTGGATGACAGGAGCTGTTGGGCCACATTGCTCTCAGCAGTTATCACTGGGGCCTGGGTTTGTTCACACTGTATCTTGCAGGCTTCCAAGTTTGAGAGCAGCAGCAAAGCCCCTTGAAGTCTGAAGTTGGAAGTGGCTCAGAATAGCTTCTGCACATTCTGTTAGCGAAATGCAGGCATATAGGATTCCAGATAAAAGTGGTAGAGAAATATACCCCATTTCTTGATTAGAGAACCTCCAAGATCACATTGTAAAAGGTGTAAATACAAAGAATGTTGAAAATTATCACCATTTTTACAATGCACCACAGTCAGGATGAAATTTTTTTCTTTTAATCTAATTTTATTCATGCTTATTTTGAGATGGAGAAGAGATCATGCAGTCACAACATACAGTGAAAACAAAATATGTCTTAGCATGTACAACTTTTAAACTACAATAACGATGTAACTTAATTACTTCCATGCACACAAGTCTAATGTTACAAGTTTTATTTTTTTTAAAATAAACACAATTAAGACTTCTAGGAGCATTTTATCATAAAGCAATTCCTAATCTTTGTTTGTAGATAGGTCAATCACGTCCAAAATATAAATTCCTATTCACAATGAGCACTTTACTTAAAATGAACACTTATGGAAATTAAGAATGTGGACAGCCTTAGGATGAGCTGACGTTACATATCCAGCTAGGTGGGCAACAAACCATAGAGCCAAATGGGAAAGTGTACTTGCAAATATATTTGAAAAGCTAAGTTAACTTTTTAAATACAGAAAATATACTGCTTTGCTAAAATAATTAAGATGTGATGTGTTAACACTTCACTATAAGGAATGTGTACCACAACATTTATACACAGTGAATGAGTTGTATTTAAGGATAGTTTTCTACAATAAATGCTGGCTAAATAGAATAACGTATTGTAAAACATTGTAGATAGATGGTCTATGTTTTGCCACATACTTTTGCTACTTTGAGGTACATAACATAAAGGAGTTTTAACTTTTTATTTATTTTAGATTTCTGCCATATGGCATACAGTGTACTCACTGTATGAGAGACAGAGAGAGGAAAAGTGAGAAATCACCCCCCAGGGAGGATGGCCATGTTGCAGTTCCTTCTCCTCCATTCTCTTCTAGGGATTTTGGGCACACATGCAAATGTGCCCAGCGTGTTTTTCAAGTTGCCAAGTCCAGGACTTGAACTGCAGAGTTGACCATGTGGGATCTAGTGCCTTAACCATTTGCTGGGCCCCTTTAAGAATTTCAAGGAAAAAATTAATAAATATATCATCAAATTTATTTTATAGACCTATGTCTTTTGCAGAGGTGTGGGAAATTAATATATTAAGACATGATTTGAGCCAAAGAGAAGTTATAAAGCTAACACATTATTCCAACTGAGAAATGGTGAGAACCTAATCTAAGCTAATGTTAGTGAAGAAAGAGAAGAGGAAGTAGCTCTGTGATTTATAGGAGGTAGAATTAATGAGGTGACGGTTGATGGTTTTAGAGCTGGGAAATAAAAAGCCCAGAGAAATAAAAAGTGACTCTAGTATTATGACTCAGAAAACTTAGCAATTATAAAGTTATTAAAAGGTGAAGACAATAAAGAATGAGTAGTAGCCTGTTTGAGTTGGAAGATGGTAATTTGTGTTTTGGGCATGATGAGTTTTATATAGCTGTGAGAACCTCCAATAGACAGGTCTAGCGAAAGACATCTTTATCTCTACCAGAAGAGAAGCCCCAACTTTCAAAGTCATTCCAATACATGTGGTAGATGATGCCATGGGAGTAGAGGCTATCACTCAGAGAGTGCGTTTAGTGGACAGAAAAGTATAATAGCAGCAGCAAGAAAGGTGAGGCAAAAACAGGCAAGAGTCATGTCCTAAGATGCAAGAAAACAGGGGCCCAGTATTGCAATAGGTCACATAAGAACACAAATAGTAAGTGGCGCTAGAGCATCATTGATGATCCATTTCAAGGATGGTTGTAGTGAAGTAGAGGAAGCAAAGGCAGTAATGTGGTGGGTGAAAGAACAATTGGGAGCTAGAGTAAAGAGAAAAATCTGGGGGCCAGCAGGTGGCATAGTGGTTATGGTGTTGGACTCCCACATGGCCAACCACAATTTGAGTCCCGGACCCAGCAGCTTGAAAATCATGCCAGGTGCATGAACATGAGTACCCAAAATCCCAGGAGGAAAATGGAGGATAATGGATTGTGGTGTGGTCCTTCCCCTTGTGGAGGAGAAGGGGTGATTTCTCACTTTGCTTCTCACTGTCTCTCTCTCTGGTGGCCACATTCATACTATGGCAAAAACCTCAAGAAGAGAGAGAGAGAGAGATCTGTTTCAATAGCGAGAGGTAAGTTAGTGTTAAATGGGACAGACATGAAAATGCTGATGTGCTGAGGAGTAGTAGCCAGTTCTGGAAGAGAGAGTAAAGGACAGAAGAAGAAAGAATGTTTTCTTGTTCAGTGTTGATTTGTTATTTTTAAAATGTTTTAATATTCTCCATTCTCCAAGGTAACTCAGAACTCCTTAGAGCTAGCTAATCCTTCCCCACCATGCTGCAAAGTCCCAGGGTGTTTACATCCTAAATGCAAGTGTTTAACTGCCCAGCACTCCCCGTCTACAATGTTTGGCCTTTGCATGCGTTAAGTATGCAAGGGGAATATGGATATGTCCTTTTAGATCCAGTATAATGACACTGTTATGTCTTCTTTTATCTTAAAATATTTTTAAAATTAACATTTTATAATCCTACATATTTTTGGGTAGTACAAGGTCATTTTTCAGTACATGAATATAATGTATAATGATTAAATCAGCGTAATTAGTATGCCCATCATCTCTATCTTTTGTCATTATTTTGTGTGGGAACAGTCAAAATACTCCTTTTCTTTTTTTTTTTTTAGCTACTCTGAGGTACACAGTATGTTGTTGTAAACTGCGTTCACTGCTCTGTATTTTATAACACTAGACACTATTCCTCCTATCAGCAATTTTGTTTCCATAACAAAAGTCCTCCTAGTCTCCCTCTCTTCCTTCCCATCTCCAGAAGTCATTCTACATCTCTCCATTCCTATGAAGCCAATTTTTCCAGCTTTCATATACAAAGGAGAACATGTGGTATTTCTTTTGCTGCACCTGGCTTATGTCACTTAACATAATATCCTTTAGCTTCACTCATTTAATCTCAAATAACTGGATTTTGTCCTTTTAAATAGCTGTATAGCATTGCACGTATATACCGCATTTTCTTAGTCACTTATCAGTTGAATCTTCTTTGACCGACTAATTCTTCAGTTATTCTTGGATATATCTATAGTTGCAAAATCAGTAGAATTAGGATTACCTTAACGATGGTGGTGATGTGAAATATTTTGTACTCAAAATCCTTCCACTCAAATAATTGGTACATTTGTAGATTTTGTTTCAGTAAAGAATGTATAAAGGAACAGTGACAAGCAAAAGTGTAATGCTCCCAGGAAAATGAATGGTCTTTATTCTCTTTTGCAGTTTTCTTTCAAAAATATTCTCAGCTATCTGAAAAGAAAAGAATTACAAAAGAACCAATTCACACAGCATTGGAGTGCCTAAAAAAAAATAGGACCATGCAAGGTAAAAATAATGCACCTAGAATTCAACTGTTGACTCTCCCATGTAAGGACACCAAGTCAATCTTTTCAATAAGGTTCTCAAGTAGATCATATTAAGAAAGTGAGTCTCATGATCATTATGGCTACAAGTGCACAAATACACAGGACTTGAAATTATTATGTGTATATTTTAAATGTTCTGTTAAGGAAATAGAGCTTATCTATGAAAAAGTTTTCATGTTTTTGGATTCCTTCAGCCTTTGTGTCTCTCTGAATTTCCTGTGCACACTTGATCTTTTCCTGGCAAAACAGTTAAAATCATTTCATGAAAATGATGGTGATGGAAATTGTATTATGGATGTGAGTTAAATTTTAAAAATTAATGGATTACTTGGCCAACAGATGACGTAGAAAAGCCACCAGATTCCCATATGGTTGACCACAGTTTGAGTTCTGGGCCCAGGAGTATGAAAATTATGCTAGGTACATGTATAGGTATGCACCAAATCCCAAAAGGAACATGGAAGAGGAAGGCTTGTGGCATGGCCATCCCCTGGAGGGATGATTTCTCACTTTCCTTCTCTTTGTCTCTCTGTCTCTCTTTCTCTTTGGCATGTGACCTATAGCAAAAACCTAAAAATATTAGTAGATTACTTTTGAACAGTTTTATATTTACAGAAACATTTAGCAGATAATTCAGATATTCCATTTTACCTCCAACCTGCTCATACAATGTCCCCTATTGTTAACCTCTTACACAAGTATGATACATTTTAATGAACTAATATTGATGTTCTCATTAAGCAAAGTTTATAATTTGTTCTAGTTTCTTTAGCTTATGCCTAATGTTCTTTTTATGTACAAGAATCCCATCTACGACATTGTATTTGTCATGTCACTTTACCCTCTTCATGTCTGTGATAGTTTTTCAGACTTCTCTTGTTTTTGGTAGCCTTGACCACAGTTCGAGTTCTGGACCAAGTGGTTTAAAACTCATGCCAGGCGTGTGTGTGTGTGTGTGTGTGTGTGTGTGTGTGTGTGTATCATTTAGCAGATAATTCAGATATTCCATTTTACCTCCAACCTGCTCATACAATGTCCCCTATTGTTAACCTCTTACACAAGTATGATACATTTTAATGAACTAATATTGATGTTCTCATTAAGCAAAGTTTATAATTTGTTCTAGTTTCTTTAGCTTATGCCTAATGTTCTTTTTATGTACAAGAATCCCATCTACGACATTGTATTTGTCATGTCACTTTACCCTCTTCATGTCTGTGATAGTTTTTCAGACTTCTCTTGTTTTTGGTGGCCTTGACCACAGTTCGAGTTCTGGACCAAGTGGTTTATAAATCACGCGCGGCGTGTGTGTGTGTGTGTGTGTGTGTGTGTGTGTATCCCCAAAATCCCAAGGGAAGAATGGGGGAGATGGGATTGTGGCATGGCCATACCCCCAGGGGATAATTTCTCATTTTCTTTCTCTGTCTCTCCAGTGACAAGAAAAAAAAAATGCCCTCTGTTAGAATTTGCCTGGTGTTTTTCTCATGACTAGACTGAACTTATTTGTTTCTAGGAGGAAGGTTACTATAAAGGTTTATTCTATCAAAATGATTTGGACTATTGATTGGTCTCGATCACATGGCTAAGACAGCATTTGTGAGGTTTTTCCACTGTAGTCTTGCTTTTCTTTCCCTCTTTGTCATACTATACTCTTTGGAAGAAAGCTGCTATGCACAACTCACACTAAAGGATTGAGGAATTTGCTCCTTATCTATTAGGGTAGAATTTATTAGTCAGGATTCTTCAGAGTAACAGAACCAATAGGATACCCGGATAGAAAGATATCTCTTTTCAAGGGACTGGCTTGTGGAATTGTAGAAGCTTGAGCACTCCAAAATTTGTTGTAGGTAGGTGGGGAGCTGGAGACCCTGGATGGACTCACAGCTTGAGACCGAAGACAGTGTGCTGCACAACAAGGAAGAGCTCATGTCTACAGATGCAGGCTTTTAAGGAATTTCCTCTTGCTCAGAAGAGGTTACCCTTTTCTTCTATTCAGATCTTCAGCTGAAATGCATTAGATCAAGACTATGTGGTGCAAAATGCCCAATCTGGACACCATGGCCCAGATGAGGTGACACATTAAATTAACCATCGCATGTGTCTATAAAACTTATTAAAAATTCTATCCCATTTATTAACTTATTCAATTATTTCTTTATATCTGCATGTGACATGGGTATTTGTTTATACTTTGGATTATATTCCAATACTAGTTTACTTATTATTTTTGCTCCAGTTTTGGTGACTGGGAGCCTTTTTATTGGTTACTATACCCTTTTCTGTTTTACCATCAATGTGTTTTTATTCGGTTTGGCTTTGATTTATCATTTTCTTCCTTCCTGGAATTACAAAATGCTCCAGAATCATATTGTATATTTCTCATTCTTATCATAGAATCAGTCATTTCTCTGAGAGGCCTTGGTTCCTTACTGAAAAGTAGCATGTGACAAATTTTGATATATTTTCACTTTTATTCAGTTCAATATATTTTTTCTTTTTTAAGAAAATTACTTATTTAATTTTATTTACTATTAATTTGTAATTTGCTACATAGCACACTCATTCACCAGAGAAAGCTGGAGAGAAAGAGAAAGGAGTGAGAGGGGAAGTGAGAAACCAAGCCACCAGGTCTGGAACTTGAACTGTGATCTGACACGTGGTAGTTCAGCACCCCAATCACCAGGCCACCTGCTGACCCCAATGTATATTTTTAAATTTCCATTGAGATTTCTTATTTGATCCATGGAATACTAGAAGTGTGTTGTTTAGTTTCAAGTGTGTGCAGATTCTCCTGTTTTCTTTCTTTTATTGATTGTTAGATACTTCCATCATAGTTGGAGAACATTTTCTATTTGATTTCAATTATTTTAAATTTGTTGACATTTGGGACTGGCTGGAGGCATGGTGCTGGATCTCCATGACTGACTACATGGTCAAGTCCTGGATCCAGGTAGCATGAGATTCAGGCACCCTAACCACCATACCACCAGCTGGTCCCTCTGTGTAGTTTTCTACCAGTGGTGGGGAGAGAGATGCTATTATCTCCACCCATAAATGTGTGTTTCTCAATTTTTCCATTCAGTTGCATCAGTTTTTACTTTACATGTCTTGTAGCTGTGTTATTTTGTATATACACAATTAGAATTACTAATTATTATATGAGAGTCTGTTTTGTCTCTATTGTTCTATGAGCAGTTTCTATTGCTCTGTCTTACAATTCGCTGATTTTCCTCCCCTTTATTCTGTGCTTGAGCCTATTCACTTACCTTTTCATTTTGGTGGCAATGGTTTTCCATTCTCAAACTACTATTTGGTTCTTCTTTATATTTTCTATTTCTTCACTGAGTTTTTCTATATTTTCATTTGTTTCATGAATGCTTCTTATTGAAGCATGTTTATTGTACAGATTTATGATCCTTGTCCGAGGATTTTAACATGTTTGTTATCCTGGTTGTTGGTATTCATTGATGATCATTTTGCAGTAAACTTGAGAACTTTCTAGGTTTTGGTAGGAAGAGTTATTCTACTGAATCCTGGATATTTTTGCATTATGTTCTTAGGGTCTGGATCTTATTCAAACATGTTTTTGCTGGCTTTTCCTGATCCCACTCTAGAGGGAGACAGGGGACCCTATCTCTTTTATTGCCTGATAGAGGCTGACTTGGCCTCCTTAACACTGAGTGGTGGGAAGCTCCTTGTGCCATCGGATGGGGATGGGAGTTCCAGCTTCCACGTGGTCTCCATTGGTCCTTAATTTTAATAATGCACACACTTATAATAGCAGTTTTCTTATATTACACTTAGATGTCCCACCTCTTACTACAGAGAGAGTCTGGAGCTGCTGCCCAAAGAATTGGAAGTCTTTTGGCTCCAGTTGCTACTTTGTTTCAACTGAGCAAAAATCCTGGCAAGAGAGTGAGAAGAACTGCTCTGGAATGGGGGCTCATCTGCTGGTGATCAACTCCCAGGAGGAGCAGGTACTTCCTGACAGATGATGGACCCAGGAGCCCTGACTGACAGCTGAGTGTCTGTTGGCTAAGAAGGCACTTTTTCTCATTTTGAGATACTGGTGCTGAGGCAGCTGGCTTTCAATAATAGGAGAGGCCCCTAAACCTTTCCATTCTGCTTCTTCCTGCTTCAGTGAAACTAACCTTCCCCAGAAGAAATGTGGCGTTAAAAATATAACTTCAGGCCAGCTGGTAGCATGGTGGTTAACACAACTGGATTCCACATGTGCAACAATGTGGTCTAGGCAACTATTTAAAACACATGCTAGGTGCATATGCATGCATGCCCAAATCCCCAGCAGGAGGGAAAAATGCGGAAGAGACTGCAGTGTGACTGTTCCCCATGTGGGTGCTTTCTCACTTTCCTCCTATTGCTCTTCTTTCTCTGTCTCTCTCCAGCAAGTGTACACTCCTGTGGGAAAACTTTAAAAAGAAAAAAAGAATATATTTAAGAATATATCCATGTATTATATATAGATGTTGTGTTATATATATATATAATATATATGTATATTTTTTACATATGTGCATGTGTGTATATGTGTGTGTGTGTATATATATGCATATATATATATATATATATATAATATGTGAGTGTGTGGGTGAAAGAATGAAAATATTTCAGCCTGAAATATCAGCTCGTTCTTCCAACATTGAAATATTTCATAAATTATTAGTATTTAACAGGGAAGAGTATTGAGTAGGAAAAAAATTAAAGCATAAAAAAGTCACTGTCAGTAATCAGAAAAGCAATGAATGCATCTGTGAAATTCTAAAAGGAAATTATTAAATCTGCAAACTTTTTATCATGCACAACTTTACAAAGAGTGACAAAGTAAGAAAGCACTCTCCTTAGAGAATGCTCACCATGCGATCCCTTCTCATCTGTCTCTCCCTCCTTTCAGGACTTTGGGCATGCACACATCCACACCTGGCTTGTTATTCAAGCTGCTGGATCTAGAATTTTAACTGCGAGGTCGGCCGTATGAGATCCAGTTGTCTCAACTGCTACAGCACTGGCTGGCCCTCTCATGCCCAGCTTTGAACAAAGCCATCTAAGTGAAGAAGAGAGCCCTTCTGGGATGAGAACCCATCAGTATCATAGCTAGGTGCCGGGGTCCGGCCTTGGCAGTGGAGGGTGGCTCATACACAGGAAGGTGACACGGGTGATCAGGAACAAAAAATTAGACTGAGACCTCATTGCCCTTTAGCATGTTCTCAGCCGGCCACAGCCAGAGCCAGCTCCAGGCTGCTGCACCAGCGGCCACAAAACACAA